CTCCTCCTCCTGCTCCTCCTCCTCCTCCTCCTGCTCCTGCTCCTCCTCCTGCTCCTGCTCCTCCTCCTCCTCTCCTTTTTCCTAGCGTCATTCTCGCTGTTGAACACTGCCCGCTCAGGCCACCGCACAGAGACTGTCCTGTAGATCGGAAGTGTAATATATATATTTATAACGCACCTGCTGTCCATAGATAAACGTGTGCTCCGAGCCTGTGTGCTGTCCTTTGTCCCCAGCCCTCCCGAGCTGCATTGCTCTCCCCACGCTCGGCTTTGGGTGATGACACTGCGGCTGTAAGGTCTTGCCACAGCCCAGCTGCTCCCTGACAGCACGTAATACGCTCCCCACATTCAGGGAGGGACACGTGGTGACAAGACGCATGGTGTGCTGAGTGTCTCTCCTTCAGGGCCTGCAAATGGGTCACATGTGTGATTCCCCCCCTGAAAGGCTGCTGAGGGCGGGAGGGCCGGGTGGGCAGGCAGGGGTGCTGTGCCTCCCTGGGGTGCCTTAACCCAAGAACCCCGGAGACGAAGCCATGCAGGGTGGAGCTGGTGGCGCCCAGCCAGAAGTGACCAGGACGGGTGCCTCGTTCACTGTGAGCCAGGAGCGGCTGGGGGCCGAGACAGCAGTGGGCAGCACCCGGCCCACACAGACCCTACTCACCGCTGGGGGACAGCCACCAACAGAGCTGTTTGCTGACAGTCCCCGGTTTCACAGCTGGCCCCACAGCAGGCTGCAGGGCAGAAAAAGACCAACATTTAAGCTTGAGACCTCTTCACAGGACATCCGGGTGCAGCCTCAGGCACCGCATCAGGGCGTCCTGTCACCCTGGGGGTGTCACAGGGGTCCCTGTGCCCTTTCCAGCTGTCCCAGCATTCCTGCTCCTCACACCACGGGGGAATCTCTCCCATCTCCACCCCACAGGGCAACAAATAGACAGAGGGCACGTGTTTCTGAGTCAGGCAGCTAGGAGCTCACTGCTTAGTGACAGGGGACTGACCACGTCCTCTGCAGACACAGCGCGCTGTGTAAGGAACATGGCCCGAGATGCCAGCATGTGACCTGTGTGCAGAGCTCAAGGTGGCAGTGACAGGAAGCCATGGCGAGCGGGGTTCCTGCAGGGCGCCTTCCTGAGCGTGAATACAGACGCCTCTCTGCTCCCCTCACTCCTGGGCTGCAAGCTCCTTTGCCCACCTGCGGGCACTGGGGTCCCCAGGAGCAGCCTCAGCGCCCCAGCGAGGCTGCACCTGCTCACTGCCCCTCAAAATGGGTGCTTTGAACAATGCAGTCTTTATTTCGCAGACTGCGGGTGGAAGTCTGAGAGTGAGGTATTAGCGGAGGTGGTGCCCGAGGTCAGGAGAGAGTCTTGTGCAGATGTCACCCTGTGTCTGCCTGTCTCCACGTGGCACTCCCTGCCTGCCTGCTTGGAAAAGTCCCCTTTTGGAAAGACTCCAGGATGCTGGGCCCGCTCCCACCCTCCAGGGCGAGCTGCATTCTCTCCACCTGAGGTCAGGTGCGGGGGACCGAGGTGTCTTCCTGTGGACTTCGGAGACACAGCCTGGAACACTGGCCTTCTGTCTGAAAGGCCTGGGCTCTGGCCTTCCACGACTGCATCCGGTCACCAAAGCCTGCGGCACCCTGAGCCACACCCCCTTTGCGAAAGAGGAACGCAGCCTCCTGTACTGCACATCCGGGGCTCAGGGCAGCAGCTCTGGAGGCTGGGTCTGACCCTGGGGGGCAGGTGGGTCCCTTCTGAGGCCAGGATGAAGGACACCGTGTGTCTCTCCCAGCCCCGGGGCTGCTGGCCAAGCTGGGGTTCTGTGACTTGTGGACGGGTCACTACTTCTGCTCCGTCCTCTCCTGCCCCACCCCCATGGCTCTGTGTCCACACTCTTCTTTTTCTCTTAAGGACACCTGTCCCTGGATGAGGGCCCATGCTCCAGGATGACCTCATCTTACTCTGGTTACCTCTGCCGTGACCCTTTTCCACATAAAGGCAAACTCACAGGTACTCAGCGTCAGGACACCAACATTTTCTTTAGGAAAATACAGTTCTAACTATCTCAAAGAGAAATCCTGGGTAAGGAAGAAACCCTCTCTTGCTATTAATCTTTTCACTGCAAGTGACCTAAAAATAATAATAAGTGGTTGGGTCCAGTCTGTTTCCTTTGTATTCTGTGACAGAGCCATGCTTACAGGAGGGAGCAAGCAACAAACCTTGTTTTGGGGGAATGATTGGGGTTGGAGGTTTGGACGGATGGGCGGGTGGAGGGATGTATGGATGGAGGACAGTAGATGGTTGAATGGTTGAATGTTGGGATGCTTACATAGTTGACTGGCTTGGTGGATGAATGGGTGGATGAGCAGATGGATGGACAGACACAAAATAACGGTTTACAGAGCATGAGTGATGAGGGCTCAGTCTGATAAATTCAGGTGACCATCTAATGGGAGCCAGGAAACTGCTATGCTGCCAGAGGTTGTCCTTATCTGTTCTCACAGCCCTGCACTAAGGACTTGATGCTGGGCTCTTGCTGAGTCCTGCAGGGAGACAACAGTAATCCAGATGCACGTCTTTCCCTCAGACACTCACAGGTCTCCTCTCTTCCACAAACCTTGCTGGCTTTCTCAGGAGGCCCTGCCCTCTGTGGATGAGGCCAGGTGTGACCGAACCATCCCCTCTGCCCAGATGAAGTCCCTATCAGAGCCCTGCCCACCACCTTCCACCCGGCCAGTATCTCCTGGCACTATGGTTTCCTTGGATGCTTTCTGCCCTGGAAGGGGCCGGACCTTCTTCCATGGGCCTCGGGCACTCGGGGCTCTGGAGACAGCACATTTGTTCCTTTCCCTGGCCTGCAGCTCTGGTGGGGGCTCCGAACTGGTTCTGGGCCATAAAGTGCCTGGTGGTGACTGTCACGTCTGAGGAACACAGGTGAGCACCTGTGTGAGTCCTCCGTGTATGTGTTGACAAGCGGCCGAATGAGGGGCCTGGATCCCCACGTTACCCAGGAGGACAGGGCTTGGCCTACCGCCACGTGAGCCTGGGTGCTGTGCTCGGTCCGACCTGCAGGGTAGTCACAGTGCTTGCTTTCCTAGGGTGGATTCTCAGCAGCAGAGCTACCTGGGGTGCGGCCAGGGCTGGCTTTGTGCCAAACTAGGTCACGTTCCCATTGGGTCTGCGTCACTGAGTGCCGGCGCGGGCTTGGCCAGCACCCTGGGAAAGAACAGGCCCCTGGGGCCTCACTGTGCTTCCTGTGACCCGCAGCGAGGGCCCTGTCTCCCTGTCTCCCGGCCGCAGTGTGCTCTTCAGGCAGCTGAGCCGCTGTCTGGAGAGGCGGAGGCCTTCGGCGAGGTCTCCCGGCCTGTTGTGCGCAGGGTCTCCACCTGGGCACACGTGGAAAACCACGCGGGTGGTGAGACCCGGTGGGCACCACCACGTTTGTGCCGACTCAAGGGCAGCTCCGTCCTCCGTGGCCCCTGGCCGGTCACTAGTGATCTGACCTCTTGGCCCAGAGATTTGTCTTCCTGGCTCCCCTGGCTGAGCCCCAAGGTTGAGTCTGTGCCTCCTTCGGCCTGCAGGGCCTGGGCTGTCCCATGAGCCTTGTCACAGCCGCAGACCCAGCGTCCCTCCCGTCAAGAGTGCTGAGCGCCTCACCAGGCGCCCTGGGCACAGTCGCCACCAGAAGCCTCCTGGTGTGGACGCAGAAAGCGCTCCTGAGGCCAGTGAGGCCGCGTCCTGCACTGGGCCCGGAGGACCCCAGAGGCCCCTCGAGGGCTCCCCTCTTGGCTTTGAGCCTGGCCCTGCCTCTCGCACCCGTGCCACCTGCCCTGCTGTGGGGACACCAGTCAGGCACCAGCTCAAACCCTGCGACTTCCACCAGGAGATCTGGCCTCCGAGGGGAAGTGAGTGCCACAGCCCAGGAGAGAGCAACGCTGGGGGACGCGAGGTCTGTCCCTCTCCCCAGGCAGACAGAGGACCTGGAAGAGGACCCAGCTCCTTCCGTGCCAGTCGTCATGGACGCCAGAACCCAGAGACTCCCAAGCGGTCCCATGAAGGCACAGGGCGCCCTACGTCCAGTCCTTGCCCTTTCCATTTCCCCCACAGGAGCCGCCCTACACCCCGGGGGACCTTCCTGGGCCCCACTGCGGGCTGCAGCTCCCGCCCGTCCCTGCACGCCTGGCATCCCTCTCTGCTCAGCCCCAGGTACGGCACTCCTCGCTGCTCAGTGCCATTCCCACCTCACCAAGGTGTCTCCCTGGCCAAGACTGTCACCTACCATTTACCACAGGACACGGAGTCGCTGAGCCTGCAGGGCCTGCAAATGTGACTTAAGAATAACAAGGGTGAAATCCTCCGCCTCCAGGGCCCGGAGAAGCCCCTCAGATGGTGTTTCAGGGAGTGGAGAGACAGCTCCACAACTAAGTGTCAGAACCTTCGAGGGCCCCTGCTTATCTTCAGAGCTCTCTGCTCACATGTCAGAGCTCAGGCTGGCCTGCCAGATGATGAGTCATTTGGGTCAGGAGCTGAGTGAGTACAGCCCACATCTGCCAAGTCATCCTGGTTGTTAACCCACCAAGTGGCCGCAGGAACATTAGTAGGCCCAGCCCGACCAAGACTGGAACACACAGGTTGCGCTGGATTTTGGTTTTGCTTGTTATGCAGCAATAGCTAACTAATATGCCCAAGTGGGCCATTATGGTTCTCTTATCCCTACAGAATCAATGTAGCTGCCTTTTAGTGTGTCCAGTCCTATAGAGTCTGTGTTACACAGTGTCCTGAGGTCTTCTCTGAGCCACCACAGTTCCCCAGAACCCTAAAACACCCAAGAAGCAGGAGGTTGAGACGTCATCATCATCATCACCATTGAAACAGCTATCCCTGGCAGCATCG